CTAATTGAACAAATCATTCTAAAGAGACTAATCAGAGCTTTAGATCACATTCATACACCAATGGAACACACATCAGAGGCGATGAGGGGTTCAGTGTCTTGCCCATGGACACTTTGGCATGTGACTGCTGGTGGATTCAAACCCCCAACTCTTGCATTGGAGGACGACTGCTCTAACCACTCAGCCACAGCCGTCCGCCTCTAGTGTAAATTGCCTTGTGCAGTCAAGACGAAACAGGGTGGGTGCAGAAGAAAAAAGTTGCTTTTACTCACCAAAGTCTGTTGGCCTCAGGGATCCACTTGACTGCTCTTAAGGTGGAGGTCAGTTGGGTGAGAGGTGCCACAGTTCTACTGCAGTTCTTGATGAACAACCTGTAGAAGTCGACAAATCCCAGGAAGTGCTGAAGATGCCTGCAGTCCTCAGGAACTGGCAACTTTGCTTCACCTTTTCAGGGTCAGTTCAGACTTGTCCCTTTTCAAAGATTAAACCAAGAAATGACACTGAAGTCACATGAAACTCACATTTGTCAGCTTTGACGAATAACTGGTTTTCATGAAGATGCTGAAGCACAACTCTGAAGTGGTGAGTAAACTGATGGAGATCCTTGAGTCAAGTCCTACTGAAGGGTTCTTCTTTGTATAATACCACAAATACGTTTGACCACACAGCAGGTATATAGCTTGTCCTTCATATCTTTGATTTCAGAGTTATGATCCTGTGTCTAGTAATAATATATGTCAATAAATACACAAAATACATATGAAAACTGTCATGACCTCCGCTCTCTGCTACCTGCCACACCCACTTCTCTGCCACAATCATGGTCTTCACTTCCACTCTATATAAGAGCTCCATCCATGCCAAGTCTCTGTCAGATTATCAAACACTTTATGCCAGTAGATGTCCAGCATTTATTCCAAGCCCACACCTGATTTCCTTGGCTCAACCTCATGCCTATTTCCTGGATTCTCTGCATTGTCTGCCCCATGTCTAATTAGTTCTGCTCGTCTAATTCTGGTAACTGTGACTTATTTCTGTCCATGGATTTTTGGATTGAGGATTCCCCTCTGGATTTGTTCTCTGACCTCGGCTACCCCGTTTATGACCCTTGCTTCACCACTTGGACCACAATTAAAGTTTGTCCTTCTGTCGGATCTGCTCTCAGTATTAAAGACCTCTCTCTCCAGCTGCTTGCCTACCACTTATGATGACATCATTACCACCACTTTCACCACTTCTCCAAGCTCTGTGAATTGGCTGTGCATCTCACCGACCTCCCCTCACCTGCCTGAGAAGGTTAGTGGCTATTTCCTGTTTTCATGCACATTCTCAGAGGCCTACAACATACAAAAGTGTCCGCTCCTCAGACCTGTACCTGTGAGAAGATCCAGACTCCCACCAGCAGCCCAAACACACAAAAACTGTCAAAACGTTCTTGGTATCTGGCTGAACTTTTGAACCTTAAACTTGGGTCTTGTCTGACAAACATTATTTTCAACCATAATTTTTGTTGTTTCTAAAATGATCCTTGTAAACGCAGCAATAATTTCTAAAAACATTTTCATCCACACCAACATGCAGTGCTGCAACAAAAATACATTAAAACAGGATACAAGCCATGAACAAAGTGTAAATTCTCATACGAACTGTAAACACAAGCAAAAAATTAAAGAAATATGTCAGTGTGGCAACTGTAAGAACCAAAACAGAGCCTTTCTGTGGGCTGACAAAAGAGCTTAAAGGTATAATAAAAACTGTTATTTTGACCAAATCAATGCACTGAAGTAGTGTCAAAACTACTTACAAAAAGAAAACACTGGTAGTATCACAAGAAGCAGGTATCGGACTTGTCAAGATAAATGCTTGATGCTCCTCTGAAGAAGTAGGAACTATAGAGCTTTACAACGTGACGTCAATGTGTCCGCAGCGCTGTGGCCGATGGGATAGGATCACCATCTTTACTGTCCTTAATCTTAACTGTCAAAATAAAGCTTTCTTGCGGAATTTTTTTAACTCTACGTAGGTTAAAACAATTTAGCAATGGTCTGAACTTGTTGTGTTATTGGATGTAATGTCTGGTCACATGACAGGAAAGGTAAAAAGATTGAAAACGGACTTTCGTTTCATTGTTTTCTCGCCTGGAAACAACGTGAGGGACCAAACAAAAAGGAGACGAATGGCTTGGATTTCAGCGGTGAGATGTCCTGACCTTCTCCAGCATCACAAGATACCTGCTAGTTTGTTCCAGACATTTCCATTCTGGTGAGTGTCTAAATTTGGTTTGTTGGTGTTATGCCATAAATTTTTGCCATGATTTTGTCCAGGTGTCCTCATGTTTAGTTCATGTTTAGTTTATAGGAGTGGGTCAACCTGGTTTAGGTCGGGTTTATATTTTGTATGTAACGTAGTCCGAGTCTAGACAGAGTGGACATCTGTGTTATTGTGAAATAAACTGTTTAAAGTTTCTAGTGTTGTCACTTTTACTGTAGTAATACTGATCTGTGTTCTGATATGTCCTCTTCAAGACAAACCTTCATATGAAGTGGATGAAACTCCAGGAGAGGAGCTCAGTGAGGCTGCAGATGATGGAGAGGGGGGACATGAACCAGCAGCAAACAGGTACAAATACAATGTGTGAACAAAGAGCAGAAAAGCAGAAGAGCAGTGTGGGAGTCAAGGTCAAGGTTCTTTATTGGCGTTCACATCGTGTGTTGTACATGAGGTGGAATGAAACTGTGCACACAGGATCCCAGTTACATCCAACAAAAGTATAAATGAATGATGTGTGCTGAGGTTAAAATCCCATCATTCACTAAATGGAGATGTGAACTTGATGTTAAGGATGTTGAAGACACACGAGCACACCTTAGAATTCATGTGGAAAGAGTGATTGGTTGCATGAGAAACACAATGTTACACAGAAATATACCAGTTAGGTATCTGCTTACATGTGAGGGTGAAGAGGTGACACACAGATTGTGTGTGTGCTGCATTTTAGTGAACATGTGTTCTAGTGTGTGGTTGTAAATCTAATGCTAATGAAACCTGCACATGCTGCTACTGATATATGTAAAATGTAGATTGGAGAAAAAAAAAGTATTTGCTGCACTCATTGTTATGAAATATTTTTGCAGTTGAATAATATAAATGTTTGTTTTTTTCTCATTTAATAAAAATTCTTGGTAAACATTCATGAAACATTTGATTCATCATTTCAGGGAACATGTAAACCTGATGAACTTGATCCTATTTTGAAGTAAACATTTTATGTAATGAAACGTTTCTAGTAACAAATGTGATGAACATTGTGTGAGGTAATACATTTCATAGGAAAATTCCATCCATCCATCCATTATATTTTACCTGCTTCTTCCATTTTGGGTCACGGTGGTCACCTGTGCCCATGTCCAGCAATCACTGTGCGAGGGGCGGGGTACACCCTGGACAGGTCTCCAGTCCATCACAGGGACACATAGAGACAAACAACCATTCACTCTCTCACTCACACCTAGGGACAATTTAGAGTTACCAATCAGCCTAACATGCATGTTTTTGGTCTGTGGGAGGAACCCGGAGTACCCGGAGAAAACCCACGTGTGCACGAAGAGAACATGCAAACTCCACCATGTAATATTAAATTTTTAATGATTATGAACACAAATGCTTATGACAAAACACATGGAATTTGAAATTACATTCAAAAGTCTTCTAGACTTTACATAAGGACTTTGGCTGTGCTTTCTGACTATTTTGTCTTTGATTCATAATGTAAAAATGTACGGCCTAATCGATTAAATAATCTGTCATCTTTATCACAGCAAATGCGTGTTTCATTGTATGGAAATGTATTCATATTTCACAGCTGAAAATGTATTTTTTAATGGTCACTTTGTGCTCATCCTTTTCAAATTCAGAATATAAATTTACTGACAGTGAATATCACATTTTAGGAAACTCATTTGAATCAGTGTCCACCATAATTGGGGTAAGATGATTGACAGTCATGTATGCAACTCGTTTAGTTTACTCCAAAGTAAAAAAAAATCATGCATTTGTGCAAAGTTCACACATTTACATGTTTGTGTTTATTTTATTGTTTTCATACAGAAATAGGTGACAGTCTGAAAACTTTTAGCCTGTAGAAGTTAATTTGCAGTCTGTCCTTTGGGAATTTAAACATCCCTCTGCAACTAAACAGTTTTTTCTGACTTTCAGTCTTTGTCTCCAGCTGAACAATGGCTGCATGAAAACTAATATAACCACAAGAGAGCAGTACCAGACCCTATTCATAGGGCAAAGAAACATTCATGTATAAACTTCAAGCATAATTTAAATACAAACGCAGTGTTTTATTTTATTTTAATTTTGCTGTTTCGGTTGATTAAACGCTAACAGCATTTATTTGTGGTTATTCAGTTATTTAACTGGTAGCTCTAGTTTTGTTTAGATATATTTCTGCCCCCTAAAGGCCACCAGTTGTCTGATGGTTCACTGGATGAAGATGATTCAAAGACAAGCAGCTAAAATGTCACTGTCAGAGCAAATTATTTATATGTGGATATTTAGACTGAAAATGACCATTTTTAAAATTTGTTGTAATTCTAGAGCAGAACATTTTAAATAGTTTTGAAATTAATGAATCCAAATATTTCAAAAAGGCTGTAAATTAAGTAATAAAATAAAATAGAGGTCATGTTTTAAAGAATGTGTAATACAGTGGACTGTGAACTCGCAAACAAAAACAGTTCAGACCATAATATCTTATATGACGTTGCAGATATTTTCATTCACAAGCTTTGAAGAAATCACTGTTATTTTTCAACATAACCTGTTCTTAGTTTAAAACTCTTTAAGAAAAGGACAGCGATATTTAGTCAACTTTATTCAGTGAAGGATTCTCCCATTAGAGCTGGATTCCAAACTGTTTTCTCTCTTTGTTCATGTAGGTGAGATCATGCTGATGGGAAGTTGAGCACAGGGATGTGAGTGGACCAGTAAAGATGACCCTGTTGGCAGGAGATGGCTCAGACTACGACTACAGTGCCCTGAGCTGTGCCTCTGACACCACCCTCAACCACCCTCCCCAACAAGAGGAGGCTCGCAAAGGAGCCTTCTACAAGAGGGCCCAGCTTGTCCCAGACCTCAGAACCATCCCTGACAACATCTCCCTGTCCAGCGCTCGGAAGCTCCATGTCATCATCAATGTGGGGGGGCTGCGCTACCAGCTGCCCTGGACCACCTTAGAGGATTTCCCTCTGTCTCGTCTGGGTCAGCTGCACCTCTGCAGCAGCTTTGATGAGATCATGTGCATCTGTGATGACTATGATGTCACACACAACGAGTTCTTCTTCGACCGCAGCCCCTGTGCCTTCCGCACCATCCTGACTTTCCTGCGGGCGGGGAAGCTGCGCTCCCTCAGGGAGATGTGCGCCCTCTCCTTCAGGGAGGAGCTGCTCTACTGGGGTGTCCCGGAGGAGAGCCTGGAATGGTGCTGTCGCCGGCGTCTGCTGCAGAGCCTGGAGGAGTTGGAGGCTATGGAGAGAGCAGAGGAGGAAGAGGAAATCCTGGAGGATCTGTTGGACTCAGAGAATGAGCGCAGGGAGAGAATGGTTGAGTCTGGATTCACTGTGTGCATGAGCAAACTGAGAGACATGGTGGAGAGGCCTCAGTCCGGCCTGCCAGGGAAGATCTTCGCCTGTTTGTCAGTGCTGTTTGTAGCCATCACTGCCGTCAACCTCTCCATCAGCACCATGCCAGACATAAGGGCGGAGGAGGAGGAGGTAAGCTCATTTATGATTTACACAAGATAATCATAAACAACATTTTGGAATGATCCCAAAGTTGAAGAAAAAACAAAAGCTCATTAGTACAAAAGATTTAATCCAGAAAGGCAATAAGCGATATTCAAGTCAAACTCCAAAACTTTATACACATGCAGACAAAATTCTTTGTTTATTTGTATTAAAGAAATTAAAAATATACAATGGTCAAAGAAATAAGTTTGAATGGAAATAATAAAAAAAAAATATATATAAAAACAACTCAAAAAAATCAGTAATTGCTTCAGAATTCTGGGTGAACTGAATTATTTTTAAAAACAAACTAAAGAAACTGGTCTTGACCAGAGCCCTATGAAGAGAGAGTTGCGACACTCTTTGAACTCGCCGATACGCGGTCACGTGGTTCATGCAGCTCTCAATAGTTCCAAACAGTTCATCTCTGTCAGTCAGTTTGAGCAGCAGCTGGCGCAACATAACACAAAAATCGACTTTTCTTACTTTACCTGGCGTCTTTCAGTAATTATTGAGCAGTAACGAACTGATTACTTAACTGATTATTTCACAGACTATGCATTTTATCAAAGCGTTTTTAGAAGCGGCTGATACATTTATCATTATAGAAGGAAATGAGACTGCAAACACATATTTGTTAGAAAAAAAATGTATATGCAATACAATGGTCAATATAGCGATGTCAGTGTTTTATAACGTTACACACGTTAAAAAAAGATCAGAGTAACACCTGTTATAAAGCTGTTTCTGATGTTCTCTGCAGGATAATGCTCCACCTTGTCCTCCATGCAGCAGTTCAGATCTGCTCCAGCTTACCTTAGATCATCTGGATGAATTCTTGATTTCTATAGAAGATATTAATTCAACCTTTATTTAAACAGGTTCGTCCCATTGAGCCACGAGGACTCATTTACAAGAGAGACTGAATATAATTGTTGTATTTGTCGTTTTTTTATGGAACCAAGTACCTGATAACTGAGTTGATTGTAGCCTGACAACTATTGTAAAATTGTAATTCATTGATTAAAATGTTAATTTAAATGAAACTTTCTAGTTAAAATCATAACAGATGACAAAATAAGCATTAATTGTGCAAAAATAAATTTCCAAACAATTTATTATAAAATATGCAAAGTGTAAAACAAGCAAGCTTTAATAAAGTACTTTTACTGCCATTTATACTGTTTGTTAATGACATCATCTCAAGTCAGCAGGAGCACCATCATCATCATCATCACAACAACACAAAGTGAGAGCTGTAAATTTAATCTGCACAAACATTTTCAATCAGGGCTCAAAATGTTGAACTGTCAAAGAAATGTGCAAGAAATAAACTAATGTCACTCTACAGACACATTTAGAGAGAGGACAGTTCACAGAGACACAGTGAGGACGAGTGAGACTGAGACACAGTGAGGACGTGTGAGACTGAAGGAGGGTCAACCAGTTGTTCATGGACCAGAACCAGATGAGAAGAACAGCAGAACTTCCACTGACCAGTGATCTGACCAGTGATCTGACCAGTGACCTGACCAGTGACCTGACCAGTGATCTGACCAGTGACCTGACCAGTGATCTGACCAGTGATCACACAAGTTGTTCTAAATTAAACTTTGGCACGAACAGTGTTAAATAAGACATGTCATATTTTTTATTGAACAATAATCTTCATTCTAACAGTGACGTTGTAATTTCAGAGACTGAGGAAGAAACAGAAATGAGGCGAGTGAGATGAGGGAAAGATGAAAATGTGTCCTCAGAGGACGGGGACATGTCAGGATCTGATGATCCAGGATCAACAGGGCCAGGATGGATCAACAGGACCAGGAGGATGGATCAACAGGACCAGGAGGATGGATCAACAGGCAGTCAGGGAACAGAGATGAAAAACCTGAGGAACAATTAGAACAAAAAAATACATAAGCAGGACAGAAGAAACTCTCAGACAAGAAAATTAACGCAGTCCTGCAAAGAAAAATGTTAATGGAAAAGAAATTCTGACATATTTTTACAAAAGATCAGATGAAGACAACTGGCATGAAGAATAACTTCCAGCTCCATCTCAATGTACCTGTGATAGTTTAATAAGTGTTTTGTTATTGTCCTACAGTTTATTGATGCTGATATATTCTTGTAATAATTCTTATTTCTTGTTCTGTCTTGAAAGAGTCTCATCTCAACTTGACCCATGATTACCAAACATTAAACTAATAATATAAAACAACTGTAAATCAACAGTCCTGCAGTAAATACCAACTTTGTGAAGGTTATGGTGTTAAAGTAATTTTATTCAAACATCTTGATTCAGCTGTTATTGATTAATAGAAGACAGAAAATGAGATCTTGTACCTTTCTGATACTTTGAATGCAACATTCAGTTCATGAAGTCATTCTCCTGTGGTTTACCTGGAAAACATGAAAACATTGACTCATCTCCACAATCACATTTTTCTTTAATGATAATGTCACAATTTATGCTGCAGTCTTTGACAAATGATCTATAACTTTAACTAAAATACGTCAGTCTTGTTGTCATGTTGTCATCATTCTTTGTTAAATCAGGTCTCTCTTGTAAATGAGTCCTCGAGGCTCAATGGGATTTACCTGTAGAAATAAAGGTTGAATGAATCTCTCAGAACAAAAAAGGCCAAATATTTTCTAGTTGAGTTCAGTAACTGGAATTACCATAAATTAAAAAAAGACCACCTTTCAAAATTTAAGCAGTAAGATATTTTAAAATGCTGAATTAGAAATAGACTCGTTTAAACCGTCATGTTGCAGAGCAGCTGCAGTTAAAACACAACTAGTAATTTAACATGTTTCATTAAGTAAAACTGGCGACATGAAGTATTAATGTTGATAAATTGTGGTACAGAACAGTCAGATAACGCTTCACAATGGAGAAAATGTGTCGCATTTGCATCAACTTACCGGAAAAACACGGAGAATGAACTACGTTCAATGCTGAACCGCTGTTGTTTGGAACTTTTTGCCGCTGCATGACCCACGTGACTTCTGCATTCCATTCTTTCTGTGGGAGTGTCACAACTCTCTCTTTATAGGGCTCTGGTCTTGATAAAAAAATAAAAAGGACACTACATTAACCTAATATTTTGTTGCACAACATTTTGAGGCAATCCAGAGATTTCTGTAACTCTGAGACTTCTGCCCCTGTCCACAGGTGTTCTGGTCCACAGGTGTTCTGGTCCACAGGTGTTCTGGTCCACAGGTGTTCTGGTCCACCTGTCCACTGTTTTTTTTAACCCACTTGTCATGAACAAACTGCTCCAGCTGTCTCATGTTTGAAGGGTTCCTTTTCCAGATGTTTCAGCTTCCTCCACAGATGTAAAACAGGATTTAGATCAGGACTCAGAAGACCACTTCAGAACAGTCCAATGTTTGGTTCTGAGCCATTCTTGGGTGTTTTAGCAGTCAGTGTTTCAGGTTATTGTCCTGCTGGAAGATCCATTCCTTTGACTGAGACCAAACTGTCTGACTGAGCAGCAGCAGAATACCCTGATAGTCCTGAGATTTCATTATATCCTGCACAGATTAAAGACGCCCTGCACCGATGCAGCAAAGAACAGAACTGAGTTTTCTCCATGTGTCTCTGAAGATACAGGGTTCTTTTCTTTCTATGTTTCAGTTTGGGGTCTGAACAGAGCAGATGGGACTTGTTGTCAAAAAGCTTCAGTTTTGGCTGTGGTGGTTTACCATTTCATGTTATTTTTTATGTTTTTTTTTTGTTCGTTTGGGTTTTTTTTGTTGTTATTTTGTGTAGATACAATGTACTGATGCCAAAATGCAGTGCAAATTACGTATTTTAGATTGACATCATGCTCAATAATCCAGGTAAAAAAATCCAACAAAGTTAAGTCAGGTCCTCTGACTACTTTAGATTACTTAACGTTAGATTGAGCCACATGTTTTTGAAGTATTTGTGTCTGGTCTAAAAAAGTTAAATCTGGTCCTCTGGACATTCAAAAAAACAAAACAAAGCAAATCAACAAAAAAATCTAGAAACGTTTCGTCTCTCATCCGAGAGACTTCCTCAGTCTGAGGTGCTGTATTCAGCTCAGTCTCTTAAATAGCACCTTCTCAGAGTGGATCAACCAGTTTTGCTGCTGACAACCAAAACCAGCTGATCACATGCTCAAGAAGGACCATCAGCCTAACAATGGATCATTAGCACCTGATGGCTGTTTACTACTCACAGAGGGCTGAGTGATACTAGCAATCACAGCATTGTAAGAGGGGGACAGTTGAACCCGGAGGCCTCCACCCCTGTTTAATGATGGACGATTTCTTTTCACAAAGATGGCCTCCTTTACTCCTCTCTCAAACCATCGTTCCTCTCTGTCCAGGATGTGAACATCTTCATCCTTGAAAGAGTGACCGCTGGCCTGGAGATGAGTGTAGACCGCAGAGTCCTGGCCTGATGATGTTGATCTTCTGTGCTGGGCCATCCTTTTGGCCAGTGGCTGTTTAGTTTCCCCGATGTAAGACTGATCACCCTCCTGACACTGAACAGCATACACAATATTACTCTGTTTGTGCCGGGGGACTGGATCTTTGGGATGAGCCAGTGTTTGCCGTAATGTATTTTGGGGTTTAAAAGCCACTGGGACGTTATGTTTAGAAAATAAACGTCTCAGTTTCTCTGATACCCCCTCAACATATGGAATGACCACTGGTCTGGGTCTGGGTTCCTCCTTTTCACCTGTTGGCTGACTGGAGTCCTGTTTGGGTTTCTTCTCTGCTTT